TCACAGCTGCACACATCTGCAATCCCAGTCACAGCTGCACACATCTGGAATCCCAGTCACAGCTGCACACATCTGGAATCCCAACGCTCCCACTGCAAGATATGAGGTGGAGTTGGGAGTCCATAGAGACTCATGGGCCATCTAACCTGGTGAACACGGCTGAAAAATAAAGAAGATGGGCTGGAGAGATGGCTCAGCGGTTAAGAGCACCGTCTACTCTTCCTGAGGGCCTAAGTTCAAACTCCAGCAACCACATGGTGCCTCACAACCATCTGTAATGGGATCAGATGCCCTCTTCTGGTGAGTCTGAAGACAGCAACAGTGTATTCATATGCATAATATAAATAAATCTTAAAAAGAAAAGAAAAACCCAAGATGCTGTCTCGAATACAATGAAAGTTGAGGACCAACAACCAACTGTATCCTCTGACCTCTACACACAAATAGAAAGATAAAACTAAATTTTAAAGAGCCAGGCTGCAGTCGATTTCAGGGTACCATAATCGCTACAGAGAATTCTTTGTAAAGAGCAGGCTCAGGCCATCGGGGTCTGACCCCTAGTAACTCCTGACAACTTGAACTATAAGAAATAACTTACACTGTGTCACACACCCCATAATAAAGGAATAGCAACCTGAGCATCTGGTGTGAGTCCAACAAACGTCCGTCCTGCGAGACCTAAGCAACCAGGGCACTACGGTATGAAAACACTTCCTGATGCCAAGTGCAGACAGCTCCTCTCTACTGTCTGCCTGCAGCAAGAAATCCTATACTGCAGCACCTTCTGTCTCTGGCACCCCTCAGGATGGCCTTGGGTTGCCTATGTAACCAAGGCTGGCCTTGAACTCGTAATCCCCCTGTCTCAGCCTCCTGGGTACTGGGCTTACAGGCCTGTGATCTGGTAAACTCTTTCACCACGCACTTCCTGACAGGGCAAGGCTTGTGAAACCTGCACTAGGGTCACTGAAGACAACTGCGGCTGAGGTGACAGGTCTGTGGGTGTACAGGATGAGATGCTGCAGGGATAGGTGGAACATAACTGTGCCCAGTCATTCTGAAACAAGGCCGCCTCTGACCTCTACTGTGCAGATCAGGCAGGCGGTGGATGCAGTCTGCTGCCATGCTGACACCCAGTCATTCTGAAACAAGGCCGCCTCTGGCCTCTACTGTGCAGACCAAGGAGGCAGTGGATGCTATGGGTGCCACGCTGACAGATCAGAAGCACAGTGAGTGTCACACAAACATGAAACAAGCCTGGAGGTGCAAGCCTGCGTCTCAGTCAGGGATACCACAGTTAAGAGCTGCCGAGGCTACACAGTGCCCACTCTCCCAACTAAAAAGAGAAAAAGGAAGGTGGAGGCCGAGGCTCGGTGCTGGCCCACACCTGTAACCCTAGACTCAGGCATGGGGACCGGGTGTAGATCGGCAAAGAGAGGCAGATTCATCTGAGTTTGTGGAAAGCCTCATCTACATACTGAGTTTCAGAAGAGCCAAGGCTACAGAGATATGTCTCAAAAAAACCAACCAGCAAACCAGCAAGCCAAACCCCAAGAAGATCAAACCAAACCTGAAACCCCATACCCAAACATTAGAATGATAGCTTGTTTCTTCTTTTCCCCTCACCCTCAAAACTGAGAGAACTATACTGACTGTCAGTGTCTTCTTGTGCTTGCTCTGTGCAGAGTGGCCACTGTTTGACACATGCTTTACTGGTGGGTCCCTCTCTCTGACAGCTGAAACATTCACACACACACACACACACACACACACACACACAAACCTAATGTGGGCCTCCTCTGGGTATGATAAACCCACCCAGTCACTTCAGTGACCTTGGGCACCCCGCTGACCCAACACCAGAGAATTGAGGGGAGAGTCCTGCAGAAGGTTCAATCACAGTAATCTGTTCAAGGAAGCAAACCCATTCAACCATCTTCAAAGCGGCGGGCAGCTGAGATGGGGAAGTTGGGGTTAGAGCGCCACCTGGTGGCAGGACTGGCAGGTGCCGGAACCGACCGAGAGGAGGCCACGGTTTGGGAGAAGTGTGGAGGGATGGTTTTCTCTTTGGAACATTGTAACCTCTCAACTGTGAATCCAGACAGGATCCCGAAAGGAAGGCCTGGCTTTCTCCACGCCGCGGTCTATTAAATGTTTCACACGCTTCTCAGAAGTCGACACAACGGTGAAGGTGCCTACTCCACCATTAGGAGCTACTCAGCTAAGTGTAACTGAACCGCATGAACACAGCATAATCACCATTACTTAGCGAAGCAGCAGGTAGTCCGTGGTCCATGTGGTCAGCACAGCCTGTGTCCGAGGTGAGCAAGCTCCTGGGGTCAGGGTGCAGGTCTCGGGATCTGAACGCGGCAGCCCTAGGAACTGCAGTGTTAGCACCCAGGGAGCTCCCTCTTAAACTGGAGTTAGCTGCTCAACTGTAGGTATGCATCTCCTGAAAGCGTACCTAAGAATACTTTAAGGCTAAAACGACCCCAGGTAAACTGAATGGCTATATGCTCTTAAAGTCAACTGGTCTCTGATCCGGCTATACATTCCTGTACAGTGTGACTCTAAGCTAATGGTTAATTTCCTGCTGCCTCTCCCCGTCTGTAACCAAAGCTTGCTTGCTGTGTCTGTCCAGAGCTGCCTTTCTTTGTATGTCACAATTGCATTTTTACCCTTAAAAACTCAAAACTGGAGAGTGAGACTGCCTCCAGCTTGCTACACGTCTTAGAACAGCCCTGCTGGTGGTAAATGAGGATTCTGCAAGACTTATTCAGGAATCTTGGGACTTTTTCTCTTTTTCAGGTACCCCATAATAAAATCAGCCAGGCAGCTGCAGCCTGTACTTGACAGACTTCCCCTCTTTAAGCTTAAAGAAAATAAACTCTGCACGCCCATCTTACTTGTGTTAAATGATTTTGTTTTTGATCAAGGAGAGGCTGAGTTGGAGACAGTGAGTAAGCGGGGTTGTTGATGTTCATGATCTCCTGTGGTCAGAAGGTCGTCTCTCTGGCAAAACTGACCTAGAAGGATGCAACACCTGGGTCTAGGTCAAGTGGCTCGGGGAGCAGGGGCAGGCGAGCACAAGGTAGAAAACATCTGAGTGTTAACCTCAATCGGACAAAACTAGTCACCACAGCCTCCAAGTAGGTTAGATTTGCTTGATGGCTTTTTTTTTCTTCTTTACTTTTTGAGAATCGTAGGCCCCGCCCTGACTGGCCTTGAGGTGCTCCCGAGGGCTGGGATTACAGGAGTGCACTGTGAACTTCCTGTCTTTCTAGGTGGCTAGGTTGTTTCTGGGCTGGTTATTTGCCAGTAGCACAAATGAAATACAAAGAGGCTGTCTGGGCTGTGAAGCCTTTACCGCCGATTTGAGATGTTTTGTTGTTATTTTGAGACAGGGTTTCTCTAACATGGCTCTGGTTAGCCTGGAACTCACTATGTGGATCAGACTGGCCTTGAGCTTGCAGAGAGACCCGACTGCCTCTGCCTCCAGAGTGCTAGTTAATGCCTGCTCCACTAGCTTAAGCTGGATTTTTGTTACAGGATTTTAGTGAGAATGAAGAAAACTGGTGGCCTGGTACGGGTCAAGGGACATGATGTTCCTAACACAGAACAGCAGACCTCAGGCATAACACTACCCAAAAGTTTCAAGTTCTCTGGCCATCCCAATGGATCACGTGACAGACGGCAGGGATACTTTGTAAGATGTTTGTGGCATATTACAAAGGTTGCCATTGTTTTCATTATGCACAAAGAGAAGCAAACTAATGGGGGAGAGGGGTTTGAGCTGCAAGGTTGTGCTATAGAACCATCAAAGAAACAGAGTAGTCACTAATCCTAAATGAGAGAAAACATAAAGACAGAGTTGCAAGCGGTGTGGCTGGGTGTGCTGACCCGCGCCTACAACCTGAGATGCCCAGCAAGACCCTGACTCAAAACAGAAACAATCACACCCTGCAAACACGAACACACACCCCTTAGTTGTTAGGGCAATGTTAGGATCTGTTACTAGAAAGATGTGGTCACATACCAACCAGGTCAATTGCTCCCCAAGGACCAAATAACTATCTTATTTCCCAACTATTTTTGCTGTTGTTTGAGATAGGGTCTCTCTAGGTATTCCTGGAGTTCACTTGTGTAGGCTAGATACTTACAGAGATCCTCCTGCCTCTGCTTGCCCGTGAGTCAAAAGTCTGCGCCACCACATCAAGCCTGGACTTCCCACGTATTAACTGGCTTTCAGTTCAGATTTGGCCAGCTCCTCACGATCTGTTCCCACAGACCCACTCACCATCAGGGCCCTGGCGAGCAGCAGCGTGCAGCGCCGTGTCGCCATGGCGGTCCTGGTGGGCAGGGTCAGCGCCGAGACGCAGCAGCAGGCACAGGGCAGGGGCATCGTGGCGGGCACAGGCCCTGTGGAGAGGCGGGGGCTGCCCAGCGTCCACATCGAGGCCGGGATGTCGCTGGAGGAGAGCCTGGGCTCGCACCAGCCGTCCTGCAGACAAGTACCGCCGGAAGCGTCGCTCTCGGCGGTGCCGGCGGGAAGCGGAGGCCATGGAACTCTGGGGCTGAGGAAGAAGTGGGAAACGGCAGCGGTGAGGACCCAGCTCGGCTCTTCCCCCTGTTTCTCCCTTTACCTCCCATTCCCTCCCCCTCGCATCTCCAGCAAGAGATAAGGCCTATTCTAAACTCTCATCCCTTAGCAGATGGCAAGTTTGGGGCGGGGGTTGGGGGTGGAGTTGGGGACTCGGGAGGGGATCACAGACTTAATTTTGATGTAATTCTTGAGAAAATGATACATAATTGTTTTAAGGCTTCCAGAGCCCATGGAAAAAAGTTAATTCTGAACTTTGGAAGGAAACAACAACAACAAAAATCAAGTAAGGCCAGATAGGGGAAATTTTCATTAGCCACAAATCTGAAGAAAAGTCACAAATTCAAAGAGCGATCTAGAAATCGAATATAATGTACCCGACAGACAGACGTCGAGGCTTCTTCCTCTGGGGCCTGGGGGGAGGGGTAACTCATCAGACCCGCTCCCCGCCCCCCGGGGACCCTCAGAGACGGAGGCCGGAGGCCTGGGTTTAAGACGCTCGGAGAAGGGAGGTGGGGAGGGAGGAGGCGCGCCAGGCTGCAGGAAATGGCGCAAGCAACACGCGCAAGTTTCGGGCGGAAATGAACTGCGCGTCCCATCCCGGAAATCGTTCCGCCCCGACTGGGTGGCTCGTGATGAGGCTTCCGGACGGGAAACAAGACGACTTGCGACATAGGTTCCTCCTGCGAGTGGAAGATTAGAGGCGAGGTTCCGAAGGGAGGTAGAGGCAGGGCTGGACTTTAGGGCGAGCTGCCTCGACAGGCAGGACTACAGAGAGAAACTCTGTCTCGAAACGCACGCACACACACACACACACACACACACACGCAATCACAATGAAGCCAAGTATATAGGTATTTCCCAAAATAAAAACACATGAGTAGACACTAACAAGCAAACGTCGGACAGGGCAGGGAGATGTGTGCAGACGTTTGGATTTGGGGGAAAAAAGAGAAGATGGAGGCTGAAAAGAGGGGGGAAGGGCGTAGGGAGGCGTGGAGACACAGTTGGGAGCGTAAGTGAAACCCAGCGTATTGTGTCCAAGCCCATCCTTACCTTCCCATACCATTCTCATCGCCTTTGTGTCTCCTTCGAGACCACCAATCAAGATCTCCCACCCAAACACTCTGCCCTCCGCTTCCCCCAGCCCCATCTCTATGGACCCCGGTGACACCGAGAGGCGCTGCACCTGCTGCTGCAGTAGTCAGCGCAGGGCTGGTCTCTGCTGCCCTCGGGCGGCCGTTTAGGGCACTACCTCAGTGAGGTTCGAGAGGAGGACCAGTCAGTCATCCGTGTGAGGATGAGACACCCACCCGGTGCAGCAGGCTGAGTGAAAACGGGAGCACTAAGACCCAGTGGGAGTGGAGGACCGCATCGAGGGACCGGAGGAGTAGGCGCTGGAGGGTGGGAGCCGTCTGGTACCTTGGTCGCCTTCGGAACAGCATCCTCTCTAGTGACAAAAATGGCCAGTCAGTCCCAGGGTATCCAGCAGCTCCTCCAGGCTGAGAAGCGGGCAGCGGAGAAGGTGGCGGATGCCAGGAAGAGTGAGCCCCCTCTTTGCTCCTCTCTTAGGAATCTGGAAGGAGAATTTAGGAATAGGGGATAGCGGACATTTGAGTCCTTAGGAAATCCCAAGGACAATGAGGACAGATTGGGGGGCTGAGGCTATTAGGATAGAAGAAACGGGTGGGTTTTACAGTCTAGCTCTTGGTTGGTTAATAGGAGACTGAATAACTTTCTGGAGGGCATCGATCCCACTGACACCCCTGGTTGTGTGTGTACTCACTGTCCTTCTGTCTCTAGGGAAGGCCCGGCGACTGAAGCAGGCTAAGGAGGAGGCCCAAATGGAGGTGGAGCAATACCGCAGGGAGCGGGAGCAGGAGTTCCAGAGCAAGCAGCAGGCGGTGAGTGGAGGGGGAGCAGGGATGGACCCACCCAGGTGCCTCTGGTAAGATGTATGTAGGTGATTCAACAAGAAATTAGGGTGTCTGAGAGCTGAGGAGGCCCTGACATGGACCACACATTGGTAAAGCTCTGACAGGATCTGTAAGGTCTGGGGGTTTTAAAGGGTACATCAGACTTGTGGGGGCAGCCTTCACAGTCTGTGTGGAGTGTGGTAACCCTGATGGCGGGGGACAGGGGACAGTTTTATGGTGATTGTGGGGAGGAGGTGGGGGTTTCACAGTCTTAGAAGCAGGGATTGTGCTGACCTGCTTGGTGTCTACATGTTTTTGTGGGGTGGGAATAGTTTTGGGAAGGCTTCCTGGTCCTTATTCAGGATCCTTCCTTCTACATGCTGGGACCTTCCTTTCTCTGTGTCTGCTCTTTTCTTTCTCTCCTCCCCCTCACCGCCCCAGGCCATGGGCTCTCAGGGGAACCTGTCTGCTGAAGTAGAGCAGGCCACCAGACGTCAGGTTCAGGGCATGCAGAGCTCCCAGCAGAGGAACCGGGAGCGTGTCCTGGCTCAGCTTCTCGGCATGGTCTGTGACGTCAGGCCCCAGGTCCACCCCAACTACCGGATTACTGTCTAGAACCATTGCTTTGGGACACATCCCTAGAGTGACTCCTGCTATCAGCTCCTTCCACAGAGAAATATCCCTACTCAAAACCACTTGTGTAGCATGCACAGAGCCCTGGGATCGATCCATGATACCATTCCACACACTGCCAAGCCACTTCACATAATAGCCTGTTCCTTGAGGGGAGGCTTCTACATGTCAGAATCCAGTATTCTCCCATGAGACTTACAAATAGCCTGTTCAAACTGGAATCTCTATGTTCCATGACACCCACTGGAATTATACTAAATGAATGTCCAAGTCATCCCCACTGCACCCCTCTGAGAAATCTATGTCGTGGTGACAGGGGTATGAAAAGCACCCCGACTTCAGAGCTGGTTGATTTCCGTTCCTCTCCACCCCTGTTTCTAGCTGGCTGCACAACTGGGCTAAGCTATTTAACCTGGAAGCCTCAGTGTCCTCATCTTTGTAACTGGGATGACAGGAGTACCGCTCACTTTGTAAGGGGGCTGCTGTGAATCGGCCTTGAAACTTCAGCATAGTTCCAGATGCGTTGTAGCTGTGACTGCATAAACATCGAGCCTGTATCGGGGCCACACTCTGCGTGCCTGCTAGAATCCTAATCCTGCTTCCTGACTTTTTTATTACACTCCAGCTCTGCTCAGTCACTGTAATTCCAGTAATCCTCTAAAGAATTTGTGTCTCTGGCTCTTCCCTCATGCCCCCTGAACAGTTCAATGATAACATCATTCACCCCCTCTCTCAAGAGTCCCAAAGATATATGGAACCTCTTAGCACCTCTCTTTCTTTCTCCCGAGCCGGTCTGAATCATGGTGGTCTCCCCTTTCTTTTATCTCCCCAAACCTTGCTGCTTCCGGGAGCTGAAGAGATCTGTGACATCCACATGCATGCATTCCTTTCTGTGCCCTCAGCACCTCACCTCGCCTCCCTGTGTGACAGCTGAGTGTCAATAAAATACCAGCGGATGAGTCAATTGTGAAAGCAGCCTCCTTTGCCTCGCCATTGCTCACTTTGGTTCTCTGTCCTCAGAGTTCTGCATTTATACGGTTTCCAAAACACAGCTTTTTTTGGAGAAACAAAAGCACACGGGTATTGTGTTAACTCTCTCAAGAGGGAACACCCATGGTTCCTTGGGAGCAGAGGGTTGGCATATGATAGCTATAAGGGAAATGTTGGCAGAGCAGAATTCTGTCCTTTTCCTCATTTTATGCTGCTCATCAGAGACAGACAGACAGACAGACACACACACACACACAGAGAGACAGAGAGAGAGAGAGAGAGAGAGAGAGAGAGAGAGAGAGAGAGAGCGCTCTGTATCTTACCATGCATCCCTGACTGTCCTGGAACTTGCTAGGCCAGGCTAGCTTTGAACTCACAGAGATCCACACGCTTCTGCCTCTTGAGTGCTGGAATTAAAGACATGTACCACCACCCCAGCTTGACATTATGTTTGGGTATTGGCTCTCATTATTTATCTGATGATAAGGTCTGTCCCCAGAGCCTAGGATAGCACTTGGCACACGATTGGCAGTTGGAGAATACTTCAGAATAAAAAGATGCTCAGAGGTGGGACAAAAAAATGTCTATGCCAAATAAGGCGGTCATGAAACACCAAAGAAATTTCACCACCCAAGTCTAGCCTAGCCGACCAAGGGGCCCACTGGAGTTATTGGTCTATCGTGAGTGATAGGTTACATATAGGAATGAGGCTGAAGCAGCTTCTCATCAAACAGTTGTCTGTCACCAGTGTCCTCTGCATGACTTGCACCCAGACCCACCAAAGGAACTCTTGTCACCAGGAGCTGTTTACTGGTGACATAATCTGGGAGAAGGGTTCTGTGTCTTGCAACTTCTTTCTGGACTTCTTTTCTTTTTTAAAGAAGTATTTTTTTTATTTTATGTATATGAGTACGCTGTAGCTGTCTTCAGACACACCAGAAGAGGGCATTGGATCCCATTACGGATGGTTGTGAGCCACCATGTGGTTGCTGGGAATTGAACTCATGACCTCTGGAAGAGCAGTCAGTGCTCTTAATCGCTGAACTATCTCTCCATCCCAATCTTTCTGAATTTCATGAGCCTTCCTCACTCTCGTTAGTAGGAAATGTTTCAATTCAGAGGAAATAGCAATACAAAAGCAAGCAGATTTTTGAAGAGGGACACATGTGATGGGAAATTGGGGTGCTTACACCCTGGTGGTACCCTGCTAGCTGTATTGCTTTGGCCACCTTGTTTTATTTCTCTCTCTCTCTCTCTCTCTCTCTCTCTCTCTCTCTCTCTCTCTCCCTCTCTCTCCCTCTCTCTCCCCCTCTCTCTCTCCTCTTTCTTTCTGTTTATAGGAATAGTGGAGCAGGGCATGGTGCCTAATCCTAGCATTTGAAGTTGGAGGCAGGAGAATTGAGAGTTTGAGGCCAGTCTAGGCTATATAACAGACTCAAACTCAGTAACAGAGAAAGGAAGAAAAACTGGTAAGACAAAAATGGCAAGACTCACCTTGTGCTGGGTCAGTGGCCCAGGTTTTAAGCATTATTAAAATCATAGCCAGGTGTTAGATAATCCTGCCTTAACCAGGACTGTCAGTCAGCTGGCCAGCCGGCCAAACTGGCCATTTTGAAGCCTCTATAAAGGCTTTGAGAAAACCACACAGTGATGACAGCTAATTGCTCCAACTCCTGAAAGTGTGGCTCAGCCAGGATTGTTTCTGTTCTCTCCCTCCTCCCCAGTGGCGTGGTGGAACCTCCTATAGTCTCATAGCAGGAGGATGTGTTATGAACGATGCCAAAGGGACAATATTATGATTGGTGCAAACGCAGCAATTCATTGGCATGAGTTTGCTGTTTGCTGTGGTTTGTGCAAACACCCTTTGCTGGCCAGAAAGCAGAATGCTTGGTTCACTTGGTGGGTCAGCTGGGACAAACCTTACTATGCTACTCTCCTCAGTGCCGCAACATTAGGTCCAGTAACAGGAAGAAAGTGGCTGAGAGTCTGCCAACTAGGTCACTAGGAGAGTTCCTGGAAAATCTTCAAAGCCAAAGACCCAGGTACCTCAGTTTCTGGAACTACAGCACTTACTAAGTTACCAGGGGCCGAGGAATCCCCACTTCCTCCCTGATTTATACAAAACCCACCGGCCTGCTGCTTACAGCTGCCATACACCGAGGAATCAAAAGCTACAAAGCCTCAGCCCAGGGAGCTTAAGCTTTGCGCCTGATGGCAACAATTGGCAACAATGATACTTACTTAGTGTTACTTAGTATTAATATTAAGTGTGCTTAATAGGGAAAGCGCGTGCTTATGTTTATGCAGCAAGGCAACAGAACACTTCTGACGTATGCAGCATCTCAAAGAAGATTTTTGGGGTTGGGGGGGGGAGCCCAGGCTGAATAATGGAACTGAGATCATCCTGCTGCTCTAGTTAGTAATAATTATGGAAAGGTGCATAACCCACAAATCCCACCATTTACTTAGCACCCGGACAGAACGTAAGCCTCCATCTCCCAGTATAATTTTGGGTTAAATGCTGGCTATGCGCTGCACCAACTGTGATGGGCGTGGTCACGTGTCCCCCTCCCCTCCAGCAGAGGCCCGACTTAGCCGCTCTCGGGTCACCTTGACTACGAGACTGAGGACCCCGTGAGAACGCTTCCCACTCGGCTCGCGGAGTCCTCCATGCCCACAGAGAGGTGCCCAGGGAGGAGCCTGGCGTGGCAAAGAAGACAGAAGTAAAGCCGACCGTCGGAGGGCGTGCTGAAGCGTAGAAGAACAAAACGGAGAGATCTGCGGGGAAAGAGGAGAGCTTCCTGCCGCGTTTTCGCTACTGGCGACGGGCGGAGGCGTCAGAGGCTTAACTCCAAGCGGGCATTCTGCAAAGCCAGCCGCGGAGCGCGCGCGGCGCGAGGCCGGCTTCCGGCACCCCGCGCATGCGCCCTGGCGGCCTGGAGTGGGGGGGGAAAGGCGGGAGGCCGGGGCGAGCCTGGAACCGGAAGTGAAGGCCGCTTCCCGCCTCCGTCCCTGTTGCTGCCGCCATACACGCTCGCAGTGCTTAGGTAAGCTCGGCCTTGTGCACCATCCGCCGCCATCTGCTCATCCCGCGGCTCGTCCCGCCGCGCGGGCCCCCGATACCGCGTGCCGGGCCGGCTCCGTGGCCGCCGGCGCGTAGGCGGGCGTTCAGTTCCATTGTTTTTATCCCTTTCCGAGAGCGGAGCTCGATGGGGAGCTGGGAGACAAGGGGGAGGGGGAACGATCCAAAATGGTGGCCTCGGCCGCCATTGTGCCGCCTCGTTTCCTGGATGTTCCAGTGGGTCCTCTGCTCACCCGAGGCCGCGGCGGCCGGAGGCGGCGCCAGGAGGAGGGCGGAGCCCCTGGCGTCTCCCTCCGGGGCTTTTTTTGTTCAGCCGGGGATGAGACGGCTCCTGCCCCGGGGCCGCTCGACCCTCTGACCCCTGCTCGCGCTCCCTTATTTGGAGCGCTCTGTAAATGGCTGTCCCCGTGCATGGCCAATGGTGTCGCGCGTTCCTCGGGAGGCAACCCGAGTAGAGCTCCCGAGAGCGCCGGGCTCGTATTCTTAAGCCCGCATCGTTCTCAGCTGCGACCTTAATTCCTTAATGTGATTTTTTTTATAGATTGATTTCCGCAGCGCCGGCGGTAATGAGGCATTATCTCTCGAGGCGCTAAGCAAGCATTGTCATTTATTTGACTCTATACACTCGGCCTTTTCAAAACCGATTTTTTTTCTTGCAATGGAGCCCTCTCCGTACCCCTGCACTTAATGTTTAATTGATTACCATCCCCAGCCCCCCTTCCTTCCTGCTTCTGCTCCCCCGGTCCTGGGAACCACGCGTGTGCGCCGCGGGGACGGGCGCCCTGGTGTTTCTGAGCAGGTGAATAGCGTCAGCCACATGATGTTCGCATTTGGGACGTGAGCGCTCTGCGCAGTGCTGACCCTTATCTATCACCCTTGACTGATGGCTGACGCTGGGGGACAACACCGGGAGGTGACAGGGGACAGCGCAGTCGCTGTTTCCCTCCTGTCCTTTGTGTCTCCACCCTCGAGTGAGTCACGCTCACCCTACCTCGGCCTCGGAGTTGGCTCCTGCCTGTCAAAGTGGGATCCTAAATCTGGCTAGCGGTCGAGACCACACTCTGTCTCTCCCGTCTGGTGTCCCGTTTTTTATGTCGTGTGTCTCTTTGTTACTCTTCTTTCGGGACAAAGGTTTAGGGGAAATAGGAAGGGTGTAGGGATGGACGAGAATCGACGAGTCCGTTCATGACTGATGAGTTTTTCCGGTTTTCTTTTTTTGTTGTTGTCCCCCCCCCTCCCAGCTCTTCTGCTGTCGGAAACTGGTGTCTTTTCCCTTGCTGTTCTTCAACCCCCCTTTCTCTCTCTCCCCTCGATTCCTCACCTGCTCTGGGACACCTAACTCAGAGACCTCCCTTCTCCCCCTGCCGGCCCGATCATGGCAGAGAACGATGTGGACAACGAGCTCTTGGATTATGAAGATGATGAGGTGGAGACGGCCGCCGGGGCAGATGGGACCGAAGCTCCCGCCAAGAAAGACGTCAAGGGCTCCTACGTCTCCATCCACAGCTCCGGCTTTCGAGATTTCCTGCTCAAGCCGGAGTTGCTCCGGGCCATCGTTGACTGTGGCTTTGAGCATCCGTCAGAGGGTATATTTCATTGTTGGGTATAGAGACCTTATTTAGCACCTTAGGGATGCAAGAAAAGCGTGGTTCTTGTCTCGGGTCAGAGAATTTGAATTTATTTAGGATAGGCCAAGCTCTGAGAATGTACCCAAAATGTTATTTGTAGAAGAGGCTTTTGTTTTCTGTTAGACAGAGGACCACCATTTGTTCTCTGCCTGGCTTTTTTTTGCTTGGTTTTCATCTTTTTGACTATTTGGACCCTCAGAGAGGGCCTGGTTGGACCTTTAGTTCCCCTCTTTTGGGCCAGGCCAACTGTGGTCTCCGGAAACCTTAACCATCTGTTTTAAGATGTTGGCTTCTGGGTCAGGTACCAAGTTCTTCATTTTGTTTAGGGTTGCAGGGTTACATGACCCAAAAGCACAGCAACCTATTTAGGAGAAATGGGCCATGGTGGTCAGATACGTGGGTTGTTACGGTGTAAGAAAAATAAGGATAACCAGGAGCATGGAAGATGAACTGTTGGTAGGCTCAGCGGGTTCTTAGTAGCACTGGGAGGTGGGGCACAGCGTTTGGTTTGGGTGTAAGTGTGATGAGGGGAAAGAGAAAGGATGGGGTCTCAGAGGTGACAAGGTACAATCTGACGAGTGGGCTGGGAAGAAAGGGGTTTGGCATGGTGCAAATGTCTCTCTCCTTTCCCCTTCTAGTCCAGCATGAGTGCATCCCTCAGGCCATTCTGGGGATGGATGTTCTGTGCCAGGCCAAGTCAGGCATGGGAAAAACAGCAGTGTTTGTCCTGGCCACACTGCAACAGCTGGAGCCAGTTACCGGGCAGGTATGTTGGGGGGCAGTGCCGGAGAGGGCGTTGAGGTTGAATCACCAGGAGGCTGTTTCTGGCTCTGAGTGCTTTCAGGCTGGTCTCCTGGCAGTTCTGTAGCAGCATGGGCACAACGATTTAACAAAACCGATGCCACCAACAGGTTGCCAGATACTCTTGTGACAAGGGGCTGACTTTACTGTGTCTCTATTTGCTCCCTCAAAGGTGTCTGTGCTGGTGATGTGTCACACGAGGGAGCTGGCTTTTCAGATCAGCAAGGAATATGAACGCTTCTCAAAGTACATGCCGAATGTCAAGGTGAGGAGGGGCAAAGAAACCTGGGACGGGAGGCTGTGGGGAGGCAGAGGCACTGGGAACTTGGGGACCAACATTTGGCTGTCCTTGGGCCTTGAGTAGCTGTAGGAGCCCTGTGCTGTCAGTGGTGTTCCTGCAGCTGTGCACATAAGAGACCTGAGAAAGTGCCAGGCCCTTCTTAGCTGCCCTCCCAGCTTCCATCCTGTGAATGCGTCTTGTGTGTTCCTGAGAGTTCGTAGCTTTAGGTGATGCCACCGCAACGCTTTGTAATTAGTTGGTTTTGGTTTTGCAGATTCCATTCCAGAGCCTTGAGCCGCTAAGTCTGGAACTGAGCTACCCCTGGGTCCCTTTGTTTTTATGTTCACAATTGTCTCTTAACTGAGTTGTCCTGGTAGGCCTTGAACTTACCTTAGTCTAGAGACAGGAGGCCTTGAACCTGAAGCTTCTGCCACAGGTTCCTGAGTAGTTGGGACAGGCCTTTGCCACCTGGCTTGGCCAGAGCCTCTCTTCTGTTCTCCTTACTGCTTGGTAAATTGCATGAGAGTTTGGGATGTGTGTGGTGAGAGGAAGCTAGATGCTCTTAGAACAGCTCTGGTGTGGACTTTAATTCTAGAATGGTTAAAACTTTCAGGGGGTCATAGCAAGTGGCTTGTGTCTTCTATGAAAGAACATGGTGTAGCCTCATACTTGGAATCCTTTTGGAAAACTTTTGAGGTTATGTATTTCCATGCTTAGATGTGTGGCCTGCCATGTTTGAAAGTACTTGTAACCTGGCCCTGTGAGTGGAGAGATGTGTGCCCTCCTATTCTGGGTAGGGTGGGGGAAGAACGGCCTTGGACCACTTTTTTTTTTAAAGCAGATAATGTAGTTTTGCTTGGTTGAGGCAGGATGTCACCATGGATGGGTGCTTGTCGTCATCTGCTGCTTGAGTGTAGAGGTTATGGGTGTGTGCCATCATCCCCCTGACTCAACTCACTGTTAAAGGAACTTGTAGTTTTGCAGCAGAACCCTAAACTGAAAATAATTTGTTAAAAACCGGGAGGGGGAGTCAGAGAAATGGCTCAGAGAAACGTGTCTGCTGCACAAGCCTGAAGGTGACTTGTGTCTGTCCCTCAGAACCTGTGAGGTGCAAGGAGAGCAGGGTCCACAGTGTCCCTCTGACCCTGACTTCTTCCTCACACACCATATATACATGATAGTCCTTAAGATATGGTTACACATACAGTATACTGGTTAATAATACACACACACACACACACACACACACACACACACACACATATCCCACCACAGGGTTTTCCTGTGTAGCCCTGGCTGTCCTGGAACTTGCTTGGCAGACTGGACTGACCTCCAAGTCGGCTTTGCCTTCTTCTGCCTCAGCTGGGATTAAAGCGTGTGCCACCATCTCCACAACCATGTCCAGCCCAGCATGGCAGAGTTAAAGGTGGGGGGAATTCTGGAAGAAGGAGAAAAGGAAAGGCAGTATGTGCAAAATGGTAAAGGAGTCCGGAGATCTGTGATCTCGGGTTTCCACTGACCTGTCCGAATGCAAGCTTACTGGCCTCTTTGTGAAACATGTTAGCATATCTATAGTTTTTCCTCCTAGGATTTGAAAATAGTTTGTGATCTGGAGGCATTGTCTATGTCTGTGCTTCTGTTTGTGTCTGTGCCTCTGGTTGTATGTAGTTATCATACCTTACCAAGAAATTAAGAGACTTTCCCTGCTTTGCTGAGCCGTCCTTTCTGGGTGGATCTAAGAGTTGGAAACTGTCCCAGTGGCTCACTCCTATCACCCAGGGCTTGGGAGGCTGAGGTGCGAGCTTGTAGGAGTTGAAGGCTGCCCTGGGCTAATGTCTGGAAACAAAGGGGGAGAACTGCAGACGGTTTCCCAGGGACCTGCACCGGGGAGCTGCGGTTCTTCTCTGCAGGTCCCACAGCAACCACGTGCTACTCAAAATGCTACGAGGGCTGGCATCAAGTATGAAGCTGGGTTTGGTGTGCAGCCTGTAGATTAGCTTGTTAGGCAGAGCACCCCCTCCCCCCAGTCAGTTACCTACAGGGTCATAAAATCAGAATTATCTGTACTTTTCCTTG